CTAGAGTCCAGCAAAAATCCAATTCCCATGTTTTGGGATTATTGTAAATGAATGCCATGTCTCTTTCTTGTATTTAAGCTGTTCATAATAACTTGCTTCTCATATAATGGTTATAAAGTAATTTCTAGCTTAAATGATGCTTAATTTTCTTTTCCTTCAGGTCTTTTCTAAGGATGAACTCCGGAAACTGTTACAGAAGCTAAGGGAGTCTTCCCTCATGCTTTTGGATCAGGGCCTTGATCCCCTTGGATATGAAATTCAGTCTTAGTTGCATCATTTTAAGTAATTAAATTATGTTGAATGGAAGTACAAGCAAATGGTAGTACAAGGTTGGTTCCAAACTTTCTGCTCCTCCAGTAGAAGGTGGAAGGGAATGTTTGGATTTAATGCCATAAAGTTTCTTCATACTGTTTTTAAAGGTGTTCTATCCATTTTTGTAGATTAATATGACAATTCACATAGATAACATTTGTATTTTTCTCAATAAAATTGTAAATGACAGTTTGGTTTAATATAGCAAAATCCCTTAGCACTTACATGTACAGAATGAGTCACTTCAAGCAGGTTGCTTATGATTTGCCAGGTTGACTGCCTTCTAGTCATTTGCACAGATATGAGGCCTCTCTTTCAAAATTTTCATGGACATGTACTTTACAAGTAAACCAAACGCTTACAGGAGTGTTGATCTTTTGGTGTTGAGTTTTGGCACTTAGGAAAACTTGATGCCACAAAGGCTTAGAAAATTACAGACAACAGTGAGGCTTTTAGAAGCAATTATTTCTTTTATTAAAAGAAACTTTTAAATGATTTGAAATATATGGGGAATTAGAACCTTAGATTAATACCGAGATGGGTAAAGGTAACAATTTAAGTCAATGTTGAGGCTAGGTGAATTGTGCTCAAGAGAGAGGTAATAGAAGTGCTCATTACGGGAAATAAAATTTTAGGGGAGAAACAAGTTTCACTCTGTTCAAATGGAGCACAGATAGACTGTTGTGGGGGATTGTGAGAGGGTTTTGGAGAAGACAGTTAAAACAAATGCAGGAATTTAGGAAGAATGCGAATAAAGAAGCATACAAGCATAACCAGGAGTTCCAAGGCTGAGGGGTTTTGGAGTTTGGAGTGGGATGGAATATTAAAACAAACAGGAAGAAAGAGAATAATTAGTGTAGGAGCTACTTAGGAAAATAAAAGACAATGCAAGGATTCACTTCTCTATCTGCTGACAGGGAGTGACTAGGAAGCTGTGAGCACCTTCTCTGGAGAGACAGGAGCTTGTTCTTCTAGGTGGCAAGTTTGAGGGATTCCTGTTAGGATTTAGTAAACAAAATAAACGCAGTAGTTTCTGAGATTGCTTACTGGATTCTGGAAAAATTGAATTTTCAGCCATTAGACATCAAGAATTAAGATATTGAGCTCTTTATTTTGTGGTGAGGAAAGGGTGGGAGCTGATAGACAGTATTTTGCATATCTTTAGTTATCATAGGTCCAGGTGAGTCAGATAGCCAGGGGGAATTTTGATGATGATCTTAAAGGCTGAGTCATGTAGGCTTAGCTGCTTACACAATATTGAGTTTCAGGGTCTGTTTTAGAAGGTGTTGTTTTCTTTATTTTTCCTTCTATTTGGTCTCAACACAAAAGATAGAAAATAATTTATGGTGAGGTTTCTCTGGTTGGAGCTCTGAGGCAAGTTCTGAAATTTGTAAAGGTTTAACACTGGTGAACTGAAACAATCAGAATATAGTGACTGGCAAGAAAGTTGTATGCAAAAAGTGTGCAGCTACACTTGAGATGCCAAGCCCTCAATATTCTATGGAACCTGGGTTTTTTCTTTTCTCCAAGGTCAAAAAACCTTGGTCCCCATCCAGATACAGGCCCCTTCTTCCCAAAACAACAGAATTTATGGTGTGTTTCATGACAGTCTAGCACTGCAGTAGCAAAAATACATTCTGGCTAAAATCCTATCTTTGAGTACCTTTCCACAGAAGAAAAGCCCTATCTACTATATTCAGTCTAGCAATCTTGTTTGGGTAAGTTCTGTATTAGAAAGTACAGCAGAATCCCCTTACCTGCTGTCTTAGTTACTGTGATTTCACTTAACTTAGGTTGACTGTCGGCCCTCCATAGTCATGGTGGTGGTGGTTAGGCGTGCAGGACCCCCACAAAAGTGGAAACATTGCAAATATCTTTAGGGGAAAACTGCAACTATTTGCGGACCCCGTGCTACTTGTCTCAGTACTAGCCAGCCTTGCATGTTTTGTCTCTCAGTGTGTGCAAAGACTCTTAGAGTCACAGAATTTCCACTTTTGTGGGGGTCCTGTACCCCTAATTCCTGTAAAAGTAGTGTTTGCTAATATCTGTGATTTCAGGCATCCGCTGAGCGGCTTGGAACCCATCTTCTGCAGATATGGGGGTGCTGCTGTAAATGTTAAATTCTGCTGGGAAGTTCTGAGCAAAAACTGCAAGTTGAGAGGAGGACAAAGTGTCAAATTACATGTCAGTGTTGAAGTTCTAAGAATTCTGCTGTTGAAAGCACTATTTCATAATATATTTAAAATATTTTGATATTTTAAGCAGTTATCAAAGGCTTTATGAAGTGAAAGTGAAGTGATCTGGGTATTATGCAATCACAGATGTGTTAAATAGTTATTACTTTGCATGAACAATACATTTTTCTGTTCCGGGGAGGAGGAGGAAAAGACATCTAAAAGAATTGGAAGTCAGGCATGCATATTTTTGCCTGTTGGTTAAGTCATGTTTGAAAGAACTAGAGAATGATGTCAACTGAGATGTGTTCTTGAAGCAGGAGGAAAATGCAAGGATGGAGGAAATTAGCCTAGAAGAGTTTGTGCAGGGAGGTGACAGAAGATGTACTTAGGAAATTAAAAGCACTCCCTGTCCCAGGGATGTTTCAGAAAGAAAGACACCTTTTCCCATTCTCGTGAGAATCTCATATTTAGAAAGTGTAAATAGATAAATGGGTGAATGAAAATTATCCGTGGCAATATCAGATGCAGGGTTGGCAGCTTGTCCCAAACCCCAAACTGTATGTACAGCATAGAGGAGAGACTTTTCCTTTGTTTGTTTATTTTTGCATTTGTATGCCACAGTAATACAAACAGGAATCTCTAAGCAGCTTTCAACAGATTTGAGGCAGGAAAAGGATTTTGAGGTGTTCTGTTGCAGGATGCAGTGTGAAATGGCTTACTTCTCTTAGGAGGATAGGATCACATTTGGTCACAAGTCCTGCTTGCATGTGATAATGCTGGAAATTCTCCCTGACAAGGCAGAAATGTCTCCATTCTTGGGCTACTTTAAAAAAAAATGAGCAGCACTTGTGCAATGTAGGACAGTTAGATTTCCTTATTCCTTTTCAGCAAACAGAACAAGTGACTGTCAAAATCAGAAAAGGGGGAAATATGACCAGAAGGCGGGGGGGGGGGTAAGATTACAGTAAGATTACAGCAATGTAAATAATAACAGGCAGCTAGCTTCAGAATTTGCCCCGCTGTACAACAGGATCATGTTTGACTGGGCTGACTGCTGAGCAGGACTGAGGAGTGGGCCGCACAATCTCCAGGATAGCGCGGAAGACTGGCTACAGCCTTGCCTGTTCTGTACTAATCAGGGTGGGCCTGGTTAAGCAGCTCGCTTTGCATGCAGCCCTAAAACAATTCTCCCATTTTATACTAATACGATGCCCAGCCTGATGAGATGTGGGGTTAAAAGAAAAAAAAAAGCTCCCTGCGCAGTACCCCTCAAGCACTCTCGCCCAGTTAAGTGCGAAGGGAGCTTCACACTTCTTCGGGGAGTCATTGGAGGTACCCCATTTGCAAATGCATCGATATATAGCAAGCATTGTAAATTTCTAGAGCGTTTTATCCCTTGCCTCTCGGCATTTCAGCTATACTCCCTGCAACCTTTTGATACTCAGGTTTCCCAAAATTAGTAATCCAGCTTGGTCCGAGAACCCAACTGTCGCGAACTTGGGCTTCTGTTTCTCCTTAGCTAGGTGGGGCGCAACTTTTGCTATACGAACAACAAATCAAGCAAAGAGAGCAGCGGGAGAACTCGGCCCCACTGCTGTTCCATCTGTAACTGCTTTCCTTCGGAAGTCAGGGAGCTTCTTTCCCTGGAAAGTAAGGTTCTGGGACAGAGGAAAGAACTTCCTATGCGCTATCGCAAGGTTCTGGCTCCTACCAACCACCCATTGCCCTCACCTCGAAGAAAGATTCGCATTTTTGTTTTGGGTTGTATTTTAAATCGTGCATTTTTTTTCTCAACTCTTAAAGCAGCCTGGGGAACATACGTTGATGGACGGCAGTAAAACTACGATGAATATATAGCGTTAAGTCCAGCCATGTCTAAGACCTCCTGCATGCAATGGCGCTTGCTTCCAAGCAAAAGGTTATAGCACTGCGGCGCAGGCTACCTAGGCGAGGAAGGGTTCCCTCGAGCGAGCGCCAGGGTTGCGCCTGAGCACTCCAAAAGATGCGTGCGGGAGGGGGTGCCTCCCCGACGGGAATCCGAAGCTCTGCTCTAGCTGCAGCCAGCCTTTTCAGCCGCTCATTCACTGCGGAGCCCATCGTCTCCGGAGTTGCTTGCAGACCGCAGTTGGCGACGCCGGGTTCGGGCCAAGCGTTGTCAGGCTTAGAGCCCGCCCACGACTCGCGGCTTCCTTGTCCCGGAGATTTCAGTGCGTCTGCTCTGAGTGTTCCCCAAGCCGGGATCCAACCTCATTTTCAGCAGCGCCTGCGAAAGCGACGCGGCCTTTTCCACCAAGCATCGCTCCGTAGACGACCACTACAAGGCAGCCTTTCTGCAGCCCAGCACTCCTGGCAGGCACCCAGGGAAGGGCAGGCCGCGGGCGCTCTCCGCCCGGCCCCGCCTCGCCTCTGCCTGGGCGGAGCTACCCGCGCGTGGCACCGGAAGGGCCTGCGCTGAGCCACGTGGCCCGGGCGTAGGCGGAGGAGGCGGGGGAGGGCGCGGGCGGTGGTGGCGGCTGCTGCCGGTGCCGCCGCCGCCCTCTGAGGAGCGGTGGCTGCTCCTGCCGCTGCCGTTGCCGCTGTCGCGGTCCCGCTTGGCGTGGATGAGGAGCCGGGCGCGGGAGCCGCCATGGGCTGGCTGCCGGAGCGGGCCCGGCTGGCGACGGGGCTGCTGGCGAACTTGGTGGCCTCCATCTGCATCGTCTTCCTGAACAAGTGGCTGTACGTGCGGACGGGCTTCCCCAACCTGAGCCTGACGCTGGTGCACTTCGCGGTCACCTGGCTGGGGCTCTACGTGTGCCAGGCGCTGGGCGTCTTCGCTCCCAAGAGCCTGCGGCCCCGCCAGGTGCTGCCGCTGGCGCTCAGCTTCTGCGGCTTCGTGGTCTTCACCAACCTGTCCCTGCAGAACAACACCATCGGCACGTACCAGCTGGCCAAGGCCATGACCACGCCGGTCATCGTGCTCATCCAGAGCCTGGCTTACGGGAAGGTGTTCCCCACGCGCATCAAGCTCACGCTGGTGAGAAGGGGCACCTCGGGCGGGGCGCTGAGCTGTGCAAAGCGGGGGACCCTGGAGTTGTCTCGCCACGGGAGTTGTCTCGCCATGCACACGCCCCAGCCCGGTGCCCTCCAGATGGATGGCTGGACCGCAAGCCCCATCCTCTGCAGCCGCCTGGTGGGGCGATTGTCGCTCAACCCATGTGGAGTGCTCCGCGCCAGCGTTTCCCCAAATAATACCCTTTGCTAACCCCCAACAGCATGTTCAGGAGAGGAGTGGGTGGCAAAGCTTTCCAGGAAAATTGATCTCCCTGGCTGGAATGCCTTTTGTCTTGCTGCCTTCCCTAACTTG